GATCATTGATAAAGATGTTAAACAGGACTGAATGTTGTTCCTTCCTCAGAGCCCACGTGCTGTGGGTTCGAGCACCTCCAGCTTCACTACTCACACCACGCTAGGATGGCCTCCTTCTGCACGAGCACATCTCCACATCGGTGTCTCCTGCTTGGTTTAAGTCCTAGGCACTTCTCTTGCTGTGACTCAGCTTAATTACGACAACAACAAGGCCATACAGAGGTCAGATAAACAAAAGCATTTTGTTTTTTCGGTACAAATGAACTCAGAGCTACAAACCTGTGATCTTTTGATGGTCCTTCAGTTTACTTTAAAATGTTTCTAGTTTTTACTTCCCATTTCCATGGGAAACTGCTAATGAGACAAAGCAAAAACTGCCTGTGAACAGCTCTTGCAGATACCACCTTCCGCAGTGGCTTAGTTTTGTCTTGTGTTGTCATGGATTAAGAACATGATCCATTATCAGCCAAAGCGCAGTAGATTTCTTTGTAAAACTTTATTATAAGTGTGAACGTGCCACCTAAGTAATGGAAATGGAGTTTTGACCAGAATGTGACCTTTCTGCAGAGCACAGAGGAAATCCACACATCTCTGCTCTACTACAACACTTCTTTGTGTATTGCCCAAAGCCTCCGACCTTCCCATCTTGTTAATCCCTCTGAAGAAAGTGGCTTTCAGCATTTAAAATGTGTTGTGGTGCATCAGACTGAGAATAAACAGAGTCTCCTGCAAAACACACTCACCTGCATTCAGGTCCTACACCCCAAGGGAAGGAGATTTCCCTATGGATGAAACCTCCCACACCAAGGAAGCCTGGGGGGTCCCTTCCAGTTTCTCCCAGCAATAAGGAGGTCAGAAAAAGGCTGGACATGGAGAGAAAGGGAGTCCTCCACATCCCTGAGGCAGATGAATCTCTGGCTCTATCAGAAATATCTCACTCAAGGTTTGACCTGGAGTTAAACCATCAGCAAGCTCCCCTCTGCTCCAATCCACAGCAGAAAACAAAGGAGGGAACAAATGACAGCACACAAGAGATTTCCAAGGAGGATAAGCCAAAATGATGCTTCACATGCGACCTCCTTAACCTCTGTGCCTAAAAAAATCACTGTGAGATGCAGAACAAATAGCTGCCCTGTTCATAGTTCATGGGAGGCGACAAAAAACAGCTCGAAGGGGATTGCTCCCAGCAGCCTGAGCGCTAGTCCTTACCAGCATCTCTACTGTTTCACCTAGAAAATAAGCACCAATAACAAAGCCTCACATCTAACTATCATTTGAGCTGTTACTCATGGGAAAGAAAAGATGAAATGCATTCCCTCGAGAGGTAGACATAAGCTCCGCTGCAAAATAACAGGATGTGACTGCAAGATGCCCAACTTCTCTCTGGTTCTGCCATGTCTGGCTGCTTACCTGGGTCATCTTGTCCACCGAGACGGGAATGCCATCGATGGTGAGGGGTGGCAACTCTGAGTTAACCTCCTGAGGCGCAGGAGCGTGCTCTGCTAGCGCAGACTCCAGGTCTTCCAAGATCATGCTCTTGTACTTGCGTACCTGTGGGGAATCGTTAAGCTCAGGTAAACAAGGTAAGGAGCACCAGGAGAGGAGAGGGCAAGGACGCAGGGCCAGCGGCTTTTCCCAGGGGGTTGCAGAACAAAAGTGGCAAACAACGCCACAGCTGGCGAGAAAAAAATACCCACTGGCCCCAAAGACTTGGCCACATCAAAGAGCTGATGATGAAACATCAAGTAATACTGGAAAGTGGAAGTATTTACCAGATGAAAAGTTCTGAAGCAAGACTTAGCATGGTCAGGATCTGCCTTATTTACAGTCTGGTCTGCAACAGGGTGCAAGCACTGACAGCTGAGCTGAGTTCAAATGCATCACCACTACCTGCTCCCTCTGATCTGTAATCTGGGATATTTAACCCTGCTGAGATGTGCTAGGCAACTATTCATGCAGAGAAGACAGGACCTCAGTGCCAACCTCACGTCCATACCCTGCTTCCAGGGTTTTAAACATGACCTTCAGGTCACTACCAGGCTTCCCAGGCTGCCTTGAGCAGAACGAAACCAGCAGAGGAGGTGAGCAGTTTATTACACAGCTTTTCCTACAGGCACTTACCACGTTCTCCAAGGGTGCAGCACCGAATACTTTAAAGACAGGGTTGGGTTTGGAGGGGGAGATACACAAAACGATGGCCTGCTGTCCCACTCTGGTGGTGTACTCATCCAGCGTGGCTCGGAGCTTCCTGAAACAGAGATAGAAAGCACTGAATAGGCATCAGCTGAAAACCCTGTAGAAACACAACCCTTTGCATTGCAAAGTCCCTTTCTTAATGCTCCCCATTCACAAACCAGGTGAGAAACGGAGCCCCAGCTGGTCAGATCAGCCACATACGCCGCTTCTTCCTCTGCTCCCGCAGGCCTGCTGCGCTCCCTGCAGTCACCCAGCAGCTCAAATATCAATGATTCGCCCTTCTCTCCCTTTCCCATTGATGTAAAAAGAAACCACCAGCAGCAAAGCTGGGACAGCAAGCATCTGTATGTCTGCTCTGTCACTATCTAAGTGTATTAGCAATACAAAACTTGTGAGGTAAAGAACTAAAGTCAGCAAAAGAAGACTGCAGACACAGGTTATTTGACATCCAGCCTCATAACAGAGCATTGCAATTCTCCAGTGTCAAAGTCCTGCTCAAACCAGAACTGTAAGAATTCAACCTGCAAAGACAGGACAGGCAAGAAGCAGAAATATTGCAACAGCTCAGCCTGGGAAACCCAGGTATTCAGACACCTGCCCCAGCAGCAAATCCCTCTGGAATTACCTCTCTGTAGGAAGAAAATGTTTCATCATACACTTTCCACCTCTTATTCCCTTTTAAGTAATGCAAGAGAACGTGGCAGAAATGTTGGCAGAAACTCATAAAGCAAGGGAGAAGCAGCAGTTCCGACCAGACACCTCGAGCACTGCTGTAATGTGATGGTTTAATATCTGCCCTGGTCATTTCAGAACCTGCTCTTGGTAGCAGAGACGTTGCCAAAAAGCACCAACACCACCACCTACTCAGAGATCCCAGAATCAGAAGTTGTAGCTTCCCACTTGATTCACAGTGGTGGACAAACCAAGCACACACGTGTTAAACTCCAACAAAAATGATGCATTTTGCCAGTATCTTCCATGCCGTAAAACAAAGTACATACACGAAGGAAAAAGATGTAATTTCCATACAAAAGAGTTTCTTTAAAAAAAAAATTGTTCATATTTCAAGAGAGAAAATAATTTGTTCTTCAGAAACATTGCAATAAACAAGGCTGGGTCAGCAAGGTTGGGGGAAGGAGGGAAAACCAGAATGGAGCTACAAAAAAAGGGAGTCCACTCCCAGGGAATATTATTTAACACTGAGCTTGCTCCATTTCACTCCAGTTTGACCATGTGCAAAGGTGGTGGGACTCAGCAGAACATAAGGAACAACTTCATTTCTCACCAACTTTACAAGAGTTAGAATAGGAGGAGAGAAGATGAAACTCTGGCCATCACTTTTTCAGCGTATTCACAGAATCCCAGGATGTCAGGAGTTGG